ACTTTTATATATAAAAAAGAACTAGTCAGTTCTACTTTAAATCTTACAGGGTGCATACCCACTCAACAGTAGTACATCAGGGTATTGAGGGCAGAATTGGGTATAAGGAATTTATCATCACCTTTGGTCATCAACCAATCCTAGCAAGAAAGGTATGTCAGCTAATGATAAGACAAGACCATGCTGGAGAAACCCACAGAAACAGTTAACCTAACCTAAGGAGAGCACAGAAACCCTGGTCATAAAGCTGGGGAACCAGTATTGGAACAAACCAAGCCCTCTGAATGTGGGTGCCAGCTAGGAGGCCTGGGCAGTCTATGGGACCTCTAACAGTGGAGCCAGTGTTTATTCCTAGTGCACAAATGGACTTTGGGAGCCCATTCCCTATGGAGGGATGCTATTTCAGCCCAGATCACAAAATAGGGCCTAGGCCCTCCCACAAATGATGTGATAGATTTTGGTGATCCCCTGTGAATGGCGTCACTATCCTTGGGGAATGGGTGAAGGTGGGTTGAGGAGGTCAGTGGGGCATGGGAGGATAGGAGGGCGAGGTAAAATAAGACTATTTCTAAAATAAAAAAAGATTGCACAGAGTAGCTTTTGTAAAAAAAATTATATTTATTTACTTCATGCACTGCATCAAAAACATAGTTGTGTTGAGGTCAAAGGATAGTTCTATGGTAGTTGAGTTGCTCCTTCTATCATGTAGTTCCCTGGGATCAAACTCAGGTCATCAGGTTTGTCATCATGCACTTTTACTTCCTGAGTCATTTCACTGGCCCATTACTAATCCTTTTACATATGATTGATGTATTCACTGTGTTTGTCAGTGTACTTGTAAGTTTCATTGATGATAAATAAGTGCATTCTTTTTTCCTTCCTTTATTTATTTTAATATAGTCTCATGTGGGCAGGCTGGCCTTTGGCTCCCTGTTGCAACTGAGGCTGAGTTTGAGCTCCTCATCTTGCCTCCACCTCCTTAGTGCTGCAACTGGGACTGACCTCATTACACCCACCTTTCCCAATTGCTATTTGCCTCGTTTGTTTTCAAATCTTTGTTGTATTCATTAAATTAAGTTGTGAGATCATGACATACTTTTACTTATACAAGCAGTGACAAAAAGAAGATTAGTAGCTAGGTAGTTTTGGCACACACCTTTGATCCCAGCACTCAAGAGGCAGAGGCAGATGGGTCTCTGTGAGCTGGAGGCCAGCCTAGCCTACAGAGCAATTTCCAGGATAGACTCCAAAGCTACACTGAGGAACCCTGCCTCAAAAAACTATAAATAAATAAACAAACAAATAAATAAATAAATGAACAGGTGAATGAATAAATGAGGAGATGTAGTGAAATATATTTCTCATGTGTATGAGTAAAAAATGAAACTCAAATAACATCCGAGTTATGCTTCACTTCTATTGCGGCATGTACTAAGGAACTTTGGTATTTAGTAGATTAAAACTCCAATTTTCTTTCATTGGAATTCATAATTCATGGTAGAAAAAGCTTTGGTGTCCTAATCTTTATGTTAAAGGTAAAATATGCCAGAATATAAATCAGAATTTTAATAATTTCTTAGTAAAACTCAATCATTGAGAAACCCTTTATAGTCTACTGTAATAAGAAAGAAAAACATCTTCCTGACACATGTGAATTTTTGATGTAATGTTATAGCTTCATGTGGTTTAGCTGTTTTACTTGAGGCATGTATATATATATAACCTTCTGAACAGTGATTTAGCTTATAGTGTGTTTATTTTCTGTCACTATTGTCCTAAAGTATAACATTACATTGTTCAGCATCAAATATGTGCACAAAGGGAATTAAAATTTATGAGGTTTTGTGACCTTAACACAATATCCTTATACAGTGTCACACATGTTTTTTAACTATTACTTTTATATTTTATGAATATTAGTGAACAAAATGAGGGTTGACATAATCCTGCCCACAAAGTTCTGTGTTAAATTCTGTGGGGAGTTTTGTCTAAGTGTAGATATTTACAAAGAGATCTTAAAAGATGACATTTCTGTAAGATATCAGGCAGTTTGAGAGTTGGGCTCATACTACTTGAACTGTGAGTATACATAGTATGTGCATATATAATATGCACAATGTGCATATTTGCATGTATTTTTAAGGAAACGGATAATTGGGATAAGAGTGAACAGAAGAGAAGAGGTGTATATATGGAGAGGACTTTTCTGACATGAAAGGCAGCAGAATGGCTTAATGGTTATTAGAGACAATATTTCTTAATATCGTCAGTAGTATTTGATCCTCATCACACTACTACTACTACTCAGCAGAGAGCTAAGTATCATTTAGTTTTCATTTATTTCACAGACTGAAGGTGCTCTCTCCATCAAAAGAAGTTGTTGCTATTATTTAGAAGTGATTCCTAGCTGGAGAAATAGCTCAATGGTTAAGATCACTTAATTTCCCTTCCAGAGGACATGGATTGATTCCCAGCATTCCCAAGCAGTCGAGTACTGTTTGTCTGCAACTCCAGTCCCAAGGGATCTAACAATCTCTTCTGGCCTCTCAGCAAGCACCAGGCATGGATGTGGTGCACAGAGATTTATGCACATATTTAAAATAAAAATAAATAATTGTTTAAACAAACAAAAAATAAAAGTGATTGCTTAAATTTAGCTATTTTAGTTCAAGGTTCATTATGATTGTTGAGAACCTCCTTTTTTTCTGCTTTTCCCCAGTGTGTTTGTGTGTTTTGTGGTGTGCATGTGCATGTATGTAAATTACAAACATCTTAAGTTGTGCTTTGTCCTGCTGGATAACTGTTCTTTTGTGGAGCTCCTTCTGAATGTAGCTGAAAGATGCTTCTTGTCTTTTAGGTTCACAGAAGCTTAGATCCTGATAGCAGATTTAAATGTTTAAATTTTTTTCTTATAGAAAGGATCTTCTTCCTTTCCAAGAAATGTTCTACTAGAACTCACCAATCCTTAAATTAAGCTTCCTTTAACCATACATTTGCAGTGTCTACTGCCATAGAACCTCTGTTCATTACTCTTAATCAGTACCATCCTGCCTGAACCTACTACTCTTACTAAGTGTCTCTGAGTGGTCCAAATTTTTCTCAAGTTAAAATTCCTCACCTCCCTCCGTCCTTCCCCCTCCTTCCTCTTTCTCCCTCAATCCATCCATCCTTCCTTCCTTCCTTCCTTCCTTCCTTCCCTCCTTCTTTCCTTCCTTCCTTCCTTCCTTCCTTCCCTCTCTCTGTGTATGAGTATTTCACATTCATAAATGTATGTGAATCGTGTGTGTACTGTACCCACATCAGTCTGGAATCACAGACAGTTGTGGGTGCTAGGAACCAAACCTAGGTCCTCTGTAATAATAAATATATTTAATTGGTAAACCATCTCTTGAGTCCCAAAATTTACATTTTTTTAATATTGGAGAGAGAATTTACTCCTAAAAGCTCTATGAGTATGAAAGAATGAAGACATTTGTTGTTATGGTTTTCTTGAACAAGAGGTAGGGAGAGATTTAGGCTGCCCCTGGAGATGCCTACATTTCTTTCCAGCCACTCAGGCAAGTGGTATCAAATAGAAAACAGCTGTTAAGTGGAGAGTAAGACTACACAACAGAATGGTGTGTAGTTACTCATTAGTGGGAATGAGATAGAACCCTAGGTACATAATTTGAATTCCCATGTTATATAAATTATTCTTCTGAAAGAGGGGTTTCATTTTTTTCCTTTTGTAAATTTAGAAACAAGCATGCTTCACATGTCAATCCCAGCTCCCAATCCCTCCCCTCCTCCTGCACCCCCCACCAACTCCCCCAACCCTCCACCCAATCCCCACTTCACTCTCCAGGGAGGGTGAGGCCCTTCACGGGGATCTCCAGAGTCTGTCATAGCATCCAAGTCAGGGCCTAGACCCTCTCCCATGTGTCCAAGCTGAGAGAGCATCCCTCCATGTGGAATGGGCTCCCAAGGAAGTTAACTAACCACAAACACATGGGCAGTAGATAATCTCACTTTACCAACAGCCAAAAGAAAAAAGGGGTCGAAATCCACACACAGTACCCCCACCGTCAACAATTCCAAAACAACCAAGAATGAGCAATCAATGGTCATTAATATCCCTCAATATTAATGGTCTTAACTCACCCATAAAAGACAGACTAACAGAATGGATTCGAAGACAGAATCCATCCTTCTGCTGCATGCAAGAAACACACCTCAGCTTCAAAAATAGACATTATGTCAGAGTTAAGGGTTGGGAAAAGATTTTCCAATCAAATGGACACGAGAAACAAGTGGGGGGTAGCAATCCTAATATCTAACAACTTAGACTTTAAACTAAAATCAATCAAAAAAGACGAAGGAAGTCATTTCATAGTCATCACAGGAGAAATCCACCAAGATGAAGTCTCAATCTGAACATCTATGCCCCAAATACAAAGACACCCAAATTTGTAAAAGAAACATTACTAAAACTCAAATCACACATAAAACCTCAAACACTTATAGTGGGAGACTTCCCACTCTCACCACTAGACAGGACTACTAGATAGAAACTTAACAAAGAAATAAAGGAACTAATAGAAGTTATGACTCAACATACATATTTAACAGACATCTATTTAACTAATTCCATCTAAACACAAAAGAATATATCTTCTTCTCAGAGCCACATGGAACCTTCTCAAAAATCGACCACACACTTGGCAAGATAGCAAACATCAACAGGTACAAAAAAATTGGAATAACATCAATTATCTTATCAGAGGGGTTTTATTTTTAACTATTTTCTTTTGAGATTAAATAGTCCCATGTTTGCTGATACTATATCAAATGCCACTACTAAAACTACCAGATTGTTCATAGAGGTCATGTCATTCCTTCAGTGAGTTGTCCTGTTTCATAATTACTTTGTAAGTTGTATGCAAGGGTGTTTTATGTTATTGAGACAAGCAGGAGCATTCAGTATTGCTTTCCCTCAACTGTTGTTTTTCTTGGACTTGTAGGATGTGGAGAGCATCTTGTGCGCACCATACTGGCTAGAGAATGTTCACACGCTTTACAAGCTGAAGATGCTCACCAAGCTCTGTTGGAGACTATGCAAAACAAGTTTATCAGTAAGTGGAACTTTTAGAAAAGGACACCTTCTAAATATAGAAAATTTCCCTGAGCTGTATAAGGAATCAATTTTCCCACATAAGGCTCTAGATTTTTTTTCACTGCCTAGCATGAAGCTAGACCTTCAGTTAATATTGTTTATGAGCGAAAATCCTATCACAGTAGCTACTACAGCATGATATCAGCTATTTAATTTAGTATCTATATTCTGAGACATTATTGAGCATTAAAGTGACAAGAAGTAAAATGAAATTCTGTAAAAGAAACTCAAGGGGACAATATAGTATAATATGTTTGAAATGCAGTTGAAGCATTGTATTCTTCTCATCTTATTGCCATGTGCACTGCACAGGTCAAGATGGAATCCTCTCTGGACATTTGCCCAATTCTGTAACTAGATGTGCATATATGTGTGTGTTGGGGAATAATTTGAGGGTGTTTGTTTGAGTTGAAAAAATGGTCTGCTTAGGTATTGAGATAAAGTAGATGTGACACTTCTGTTCTAAACAGGATTTAGAAACCATACAATAGATTAAACAGGTGAAATCTAAAAAGAAGACATTCTAACTATGATAAGCAGTAGCTAGAAGGTAAATGGAGAGTGTTTACTACTGTGCTGGTTAGTGTTTATGTTAACGTAGACAATATCCAAGGGTCATTTGAGGAAAGGAAATCTCACCTGAGAAAATTCCTCCTTTAGGTAAGTCTGGTGCATTTTCTTAGTTGATAATTGATGTAGCTCACTGTGGACAATGCCATTCTTGGGCAGGTAGTTCTGAGTTGTACAAGAAAGCAGTCTTAGCAAGCCAGTAAAAAAACAGTGCTCCTTCATCGACTCTGCTTCAGTTCTTACCTCCAGGTTCCTGGTTGAGTTCCAACCCTGATGACCCTCAGTGATAGAGTGTAACTGGATAGTTGTAAGCTGAAATAAACCCTTTTCTCCCCAAGTTGCTTTTGGTCATGATGTTTTATCATAGCAGTAGAAACCCTAAGACAGGTACCCCAGGATGAAAGTTTCCCTAGAAGAACATACTTGGAGGGACTTTAAATCCTATCAGAGAGGCTGTAGATTGGCCATCAGACAGCCGAACTTTATTGGTTGGGTCAAGATCAGGTAGATCTGGAATCAAATGACTTAGGTCTTGCTCCAGAGTTTAGAAAGGCCACAGATGCTGAGCTCTGGGTGACTTGTGTGCAGTGTGTGCCTGGTTGTCAGAGCACAAAGGTTGCAGAGAACACAGAAGGAATGACTGCTTGGCAGATGACCCTCTGGGACTCAGGAGCTTGTTGAAAGAGTCATGGCTGACAGTTGTGTTCAGTCTGTTGAGCTCTAGTTTCTATGTTGAGGATTGTAGAAGAGTTATCACTGGACCCGACTGCACGGTTCTGGATGAACGCTTTATGGACCCATTGCTGAGGAAGACTCTATCAGGTAACTTTGCACCCACACCACCAAACCCACCACTCTGCCCTAGTCTGTGCTGGAAGTTATAAGAGGGGTCTATATTGTAGCTGTGCTTATTTTCTCGAACTTAAATTATTGACTCACCTTTCTACTAGTTACATAAACTATTTTTTAATATTCCCATATATACATGTACTATTTTGTACTATTATATTTTGTTCCTGTTATGGTGGCACCTGGACTTCAGGGAGCATCTGAGTTCTGGGGTCCAATGTGGAGCAACACTCTAGTCCTGCAATTCATTTCCTCTACCAGGATGTTGTTAAGAGAAGCTTTTTCCTTTGCTAGCCGCTTTGGTTTATCCCCTGCCAGTCACCTGGGCTCTGCCGCGCCAGCCTGGTTCTAGATCCGCATGAGGCCCAAATAAACACACAGGAGGCTATATTAATTATGAAGCTGTTGGCCTTGCTTGTCCCTTACTGGCTAGCTCTGCCTTAAGTAATTACCCCATAATTGTTAATCTAAGTATGTTTCTTACCGGAGAATAGTTCCCGGCTTCTTACCCCTATGGCGTCACATGTCGACTCTCTTCTGTTTCCCCTTCCCAGAATCCTCCTCGACTCCTAGTCCCTCCTATCTAGGTTTTCTATTGGCCAGACAGTACTTTATTGACAAATGCACAGGCAAATAACAGGACTTCCCCAACATCTCCTCTTTTCTGTTTAAACAAAAGAAAGGTCTTAATTTTAACATAGTCAAATTGTATATGACAGAACAGTTATCAAGTAAGAACATAGTTACAATATTTTAGCAAGATTTAAAGAAAATATCATCCATCCCATCCTTGTGAGTCCCAAGTTCTATATGTAGCTTATCTTTTATCATTACTAAGGAAAACTATAATTATAACTATCTGTCTTCAACTCCATCAAAGACCACAGAAGGATAATATATAAACACTAGGATTGACAGAGATATCTTACTGCCTGGACAGTCACCCGAAGTTCCTCTGTAACGTTGGGGCATCCATCTTCAGCCCATAGGCCACAATGTGTCTGGAACACTTCTCAGCAAAGCAGGAAATTTCAAACTGTCCATCTGCGTTGGCAGTCTGTCAGTCATTTTTCTTTGTCCTGCAGAAAGTCTCTCGGACTCTTCCATGAAGCAGGAACCCTGTAAGACTGAGTTCAGCATTCACTTTCCTGTGGGTCCTGCATGTCCAGTTTATACAGCAACAGTCAGTCTAGGCAATAGCAGTTTCTTGCCCAAATGGCTAATCTTGCCATGTTGAAAGCAAACTCCATAACGAGTTTCTTCGATGCCCATTTTCCTCTCATAATTGGTGCTGCCAGGAGCAGACATTTCTCATTGTCAAGAAAAACCCTAAACCATTTTAAAATGCCATTTTCTGAAGGCCTTTGAAAGGTTTGAAGACTATCTGTCTGTCTCAAATATTATCTCTATATATCTAGAAAACCTAACTTACCTAACTATAAATTCTAACTATTATAAGTAACTATCTATAGTCTGTATTCAATTATGCATTATGTTTTAAAAGATCAGTATAAGCACAATACTTAATCAAGAGGAGAAATATAAGCATCATAAAATTGACCTTGATTTTGTCTCAATAAATGAAAAACAATACCCATACCATAATTCCCCTTTTTACCATTAAAAGGAGATTGGTTGTGATCATTAACCAATTATAAACAATCCCATTTAAATGAAAACAAAGATTTATAAACAAGATGGGAATTAGGACGTCGCTCATTTCAAACTGCTTCCTGCTGGAAGGGGGCGCTGTTCATACCATGGGGATCATGACAAAACTCAGAAACCTGTATAAGTCCGTATTTTCGGGGTCTGTAAGACTGCATCATCTTAGCTGTTTCAATTGTTGGAACATCTGATCCACTGCTTCCGGGGGTCTTGGTTCGTGAAACCACAGAAGCCTGGAAGGAATTCTCAGCTTTTCATTTTCTATAGAAACATAAGCAAATTCTCCTTTTCCAAGTAACATATCCTTATACTTAAATTTTGAAGTCAAGGCATTTTCAAAAGATAGAAGTTGGATTAATTTAGCAGCATTTATAATCAAGTGTACTTTAGTAGCAGTTCCTTCCTGAGCAAGCAAAAAACTGAAAAACACAATAGCATACAGTATCCAGACTCTCTGTGTATTTTCCATCTTTATGTGGCTTGTTTATTTATCTATTATTACTTTATCTATTTCACTTTTATTTTTCTTTGAGACAGGGTTTCTCTTTGGAAATCTGCCTGCCTCTGCCTCTGGAGTAAGTCCTACCAGCGTGTGCCACCACAACGCTGGCTTTTGTATTTATATCCACTTTGTCGTTTCATTTTCTCTCTCAATCTCACGTATATTTTTAAACACACTGTAAACCTTTAGAAGTTTTTCTTTATCCAAGTCTGACTTTACTGTAAATCTTTATGTTTTCCTGGCCACGTGTCTTATCTGTAAAACCGCGGCTGTTTTAAACTGCCGTTTCAAGATGGCGGGCTAAGCGTGACTCCAGCTTACCGCCTCAGTCCATGCTGACATCCAGCAAAAGCTGCCACTTCCAGCTGTACGTACACCCCTTTGAATCGGTAGCAGAGTCTCTTAAAACAACCTTGCTGGTTTTTTTTTTTTTTCTTTTTATGCTGAGTCAGGAAGACTCTGGTAAGCGAGCCACGTGAATCTCGGCTTGTCGCTAGCAAAACAGAGCACACCTGAGAAAAATGCTGCTACCAAAATCTGTGCTTCTCTCCGTTCTTCTGTTTCTAAAATTCCTTTAAAGCTTTTGCCATTCTGCGTGGAAATTCATGATCCCACTCCTGATCACCATTCTGTTAAGAGAAGCTTTTTCTTTGCTAGCCGCTTTGGTTTATCCCCCCGCCAGTCGCCTGGGCTCTGCCGCGCCAGCCTGGTTCTAGATCCGCATCAGTCCCAAATAAACACACAGGAGGCTATATTAATTATGAAGCTGTTGGCCTTGCTTGTTTGTTACTGGCTAGCTCTGACTTAAGTAATTACCCCATAATTGTTAATCTGAGTATGTTTCTTACCGGAGAATAGTTCCCGGCTTCCTACCCCATGCGGTTACATCTCAAACTCTCTTGTCTTTCTCTTTCCCAGAATCCTCCTCGACTCCTAGTCCCTCCTGTCTAGGTTTTCTATAGGCTCAACAGTACTTTACTGACAAATAACAGGACTTCCCCAACAGGATGTGACTTTACCTACATCTGTTTATAGGCAATCAGCCTCTGTCACCATTGAATTCATTATGGTAGCTGTAGCTTCTGGCTTTCTCAACTCACACCTCAACCACTGACCACAGATACTCAACTGACAGACAGTTTAACTTATGTTCCCTCTCAGCCTTTTCACTGAGCCCTAGTGGTTCAGTTGGTGAGCCCAGAACCTCTAGGATATTTTATGAGGTAGTCAGGTCACATCAGGCTGTTGTGCCTTACTTGTAGATGAGCATCTTGGTGTTCCGAGTGTGCCTTGGAGTGGGGAACTTCACCATCAGTTTCTGTCTTTCTACATCTTGCTGGGAAAGGGAGCATAGGTCTCTTTGTTCTCTGATTTCCTCAAATCTAGCTGGGGCTGTTCTGATGTTTCTTTTCCCCCCATCCTTTACTTCTGTTGGCTCTGGACAGAAACAGAAACTCTTACTACAACTAGTTTTCCCATAAATCACACATTAATTCCAAGTTCTAATTTAAGGATTCTTATGGAAACCAGGCTAAGCAAGTATTTCTCCAAACCATTGCTTTTTTTGATAATTTTGGCTTAATCTACTCCAAGTTACTCGGAAGTTGTCACAATGTAGAATATGCAAAAGCCCACAAAGAAGTTCAAAGAATGAAACAAAATTCAGCTGGATTCACTGATGGAGAAATGAAGGGATTCTAGCGTGGGACTAAAACTTGAATGACTTCCTCAAAATCCTAAGTTATGACCTTGGTCTTTTAAAAGCATCATTCCCTATTAGAAAGGAAATTTTCAGTCACACATACACAGAAAAAACAAATTATCCTTAGAAAAATTTTGTTTATTTAGTAGAAAATAGAATGGCTGACTAAAGGAAAATTTATTTCATGAGGAAGATATTTTGAACAGGTGTTTTCTTATGTTCTTCTTTTTATGAGTGTATTGCCTGTATATATGTCTGTGCACTTCACCTGTGCCTGGTGCACCCAGAGGCCAGGAGAATGTCTTGAATCCTTCAGAACTGGAGTTTCAAATGGTTGTAAGCCACTGTATGGGTTCTAGAAATTGAGTTTAAGTATTTTGGAAGAGCACCAAGTGGCCAAGGTTATGCAGCTTCGAAAAGATCCAAGGTTCTAAATTATCTGGATGGTTGTTCTCTCTCTCTCTCTCTCTCTCTCTCTCTCTCTCTCTCTCTCTCTCTCTCTCTCTCTCTCTCTCTCTCTCTCTCTCTCCTCTTTCCTCTCTCCCTCCCTCCTTCCCTCCTTCCCCTTCCTTCCCTCTCCCTCCCTCCTTCTCTCCCCTCCCTCCTTCCCTCCCCTCCCTCCATCTGTGTGTATTACTAAGTGCTACTTGATATTGACATACAAACTAAGTAATAAATTATGAATATGATCTGATGTCTACCAATAGTTAATCTCAGAAAAGATTGGTTGCATTCTTGTTGTGTTCTCAAATCTGTCAGACTTATATCTTATTCTTTTATTTCATTAATAATGTTGAATGCTGTTCTTCAAGAAAAGTGAATCTTGGCCTAATAACACAGGATTTATGTGATTTGTTGTCATTGTATATATATGGCATTTGTAGTCTCAGGACATCAATGAGAAAAATATTAAGAATTGAATAATAGAGGCTCATAAAAGCTAACTTCTTAGAAGTCCTGTGACAAATCAGGCAATGGTGGAATATACCTTTAATCCCAGCAATCAGGAGCCAGAGGCAGGCTGATCTCTTTGAGATTGAGGCCAGCCTGGTATACAAAGCAAGTATCAGGTAGCCAGGATTGTTACACAGAGGAACCCCC